GTAGCTTGCCTGGAACGAGACTAACACACTCCATTGCCTGATCCTCAAGTCTACTCTCTTCTTCCCACATCTTCTCAGAGCTAGTTAAGGTGAGCAACACAACAAAGGTGACCAAGTGATTTCCAAGGTCTCTTGGACATCTTATTCTAGGGTCCCAGCGGTTAGGTGTGGGACACCCAAGAGGCCTAAACAGAGAACAGAGAACAACTTAGGCATTAACCAATAACCCATCCCAATTTGCAAACAGTATGAGTCAGGTATTGCAAAGTCTATCCTTTTTTTATTTACTGAAGTTTTAGACGACTGAATATCAGCCGATGCAATACCAGTAAGAGTCTCAAACCAGAGCCACAAAATAGTTCACAAAATCCTAACAGTGCTCGGAGGTAATTTATTTTGTAACTAATACATGCTTATAGATAATATTCTCAGAGAAAAGAGTCTGCCCCCCCACATCATAAATAAATGTGGAAAGAATTTAAAACGGATGAACACATCTTTGTGCTAAGGATGAAGCTTGGTGGCAGAGTGCTTGCCCAGCATTCACTGATAAAGAAAGAATAAACATATTTTGGATTAATGAAAAGAGAAGAGTACACTTAACAATGAATGCTAATACTACGGATTTTAACTCACTTATAACAGCTGTTGGCTGTTTATGCAACTGGCCATGCTACGCTGAAAACTAGGATTCTCCTTCCTCTGCAAATGTTTCCTTGTGCTTCAGAAATGTGGGAAGAGTGTCTATGGCATTTGGAATGCCCACCTAGCTGTCTCTAAAGTGTTTCCAAAAAGCTTGTCTTATGTTCCTTGTTATCCATGAATATATATGTATGTGTATATATGTATGTGCATATATATGTATATATATTTTTTGAGATGGTGCCTTGTGAAGTGGCCCTGGTCTTGAACTCTTTTTTAAATTAGTTTTTAATTTATTCTTTGTGACTTTCACATCATGCCTCCTGATTCATCTCCTTCCCCACCCCAAAATAAAACAAAATTTAAGAGAAAAAGGGGGGGAAAATCTGTCATGGAAGCTGCAATGTGACACAGTGAGTCATTCAGTAAACCCCTTTATCCATATATTTTTACATGCAGGTGGTCGTCAAAAAGAGTCACTGGCCTTGTTTCGAGGCTTCTGGTCTCTGCTGCACCATCAACACCAGGCCCTCACTGGTACTCTTCCTGGACATCCTGGTGCTGCCTTGTGTCATGGAGATCCTGCAGTTTTGGGTCCACAGGACTGGTACCCCTCCATATCCCCACCCCGCATGCTCCAGCAGATCGCAGATAGGGTGGCTCTTGGAGCAGTTGGAGTGGGCCAACACATAACCCTGGTTCTGGGCCTGGATAGTTGCAGGTTTGGTTAGCCTTCCAGTTCTTCTCTGTCTTAGCCACCAGGGTGTGCTCTCCAGCTTTACCCTGGCTAGCTCACCCCTTGCAGTGATGAGCAAGGGGCAGGACCTCCAGGTTGGTTCTCCTGTTGCCTAGCTCCCAGGTGCTGCAGCTGATGAGGGACAGGGCCAGCTCTCCTGCTCTGCTCTGACCTTAGGGCCAGCTCTCCCACCTGCCTTGGGTGTTGATGGGGGTGGGTGGTTGAATTCTTGAGCTCCAAGGACCCTCCTGTTGCAGTCTCAGCTCTGCAGCTGGGACTGTGGGTGTGTACCACTGGGTCAGCTCTTTCCCATCTTCTACAAGATGGTTTATATCAAACATCTGAGACCAGTTAGGATTTTTAAAAACAGTGCAGAAGCGAACTAATTTTGATAGGCTTCCAGTACAGGTGGTGTATGTGTGTGTGTGTGTTAAATAGCACTGCATTCGACTGAGACTTGATTAGAAATTTTGTGGCACAGCATCATAAAAACAATGACAAGGATAGTGAGAAGGAAATGGAAGAAATCAAAAGTCAGATGGCCAGTATCACCCTTGAAAACTGCAAGATGTCTTAACCAGAGCCGTTATCTCAGCATGGCAATGAATCAACCAACCAACCAGCACATACCAACCAACAGCCTCAAAGTATTTTAATTTCCCAGAAGGTACTTCAAATTTCAGATACAACGTCTTGATTTTCTTTGAATTTTAAGAAAACCAGAATCTCACAGAATGAATCAATTATGCTTCTTGAGATGTCTTTGCCCCCTATCTTGATGATTAAAAGAATCGGAAGTAGCATTGTAGCATTCCACAAATACTGGAAATCACTTTTTGTTATTTAAAAATAATTTTGTTTAAATTTCTCTTTTACCTTTTTTTTTTTTTCAAGAGTGCTACCCCAGGAACAGAAATCAACCTTAACCACTAACTTATGTGTACGGGAAAGTTAATATTGCTGAAGAACATTAATTAACAATCAAAAAATTTTCATTATCTGTTAGCACTGTACTCTTAACAAAGCAATGAGAACAATAAAACAAAACCCACTAAGACCAAATAAACAAAAAAAGCAAGTGTTTTTCTTAGAGTTTGTCTTTAGTAACAAATTATAAGTGATGCATCAATTGTCCTTTTGCATTTCCAAATTTTATCTACCACATGTAAAGAGATTTTTAAATGGCGTGTTAGTGCCATGAAAGCCCCTCATCAACTGCTATCATTTGGTCATTCCAAACTCACCCCAAATTCCAAGCCAAACAGTACCAATATTCTGGGACCTACACATTTTAATAAAATAGAATATTTACAGAATGTGCAGAATCTGACCCAGTTCAACAGAAGCAAAACTATTTTTAGGAACCCTCTTCACACAAGCTTACAAGTTTTAAAATTATCTCATATAAAACATAATTTCTTGATCATTTTGTTTTAATGTTTTTGTTTACACTAGTAAACCTTTGATGGATTCTTCTAACCACTGCAAAATGTCTTGAAAAGTATGAACATTTCGTCCCTGATGTACATCTCATAGTGCTTCGTGAGAAGGTTACATCAACTCTAAAGAATTCCTGGAAGCCCGAGTCACAAGCCTACATGACAGGAGCTGCAGAATTGGTTGGTGGGGGTTGGAGGAAGTTCCTGAATCCAAAAGGATTCTGGCATGAAACAAATCTTTTGAAGACAGATGGCAATGTCGTTAAGGACCATTTTTTTGTTTTCCTTCTTGTTTGTTGCTTCATGTCCCTCATGAACATATAAGCAGTTCAAAGTCAAATGGCCACTAGCTTTAAGGGAATCTGAAAAAGTGATTTTAGCTAGAATTAAAGTTCCATGGGATGACTGGGCAAATAGAGAGTAGTCTTCCAGAAGCTGGGGTCTAGAGGGCTATGGTCACAGTGACTGGAAATGGGGACTTCACGAGGCACTACAGCTACAATATCAAGAGTATCCTAACATAAATGTAAGGTAGCATGGGAGAAGGGAGATATTGGGCAGTGGTCCTCAGCCTTCCAAATGTTGCGAGCCTTTAATACAGTTACTTATGTGTGGTGACCCCCCCATCATAAAGTTCCTTTCTTTTAAGACATTTTTTTATTATGTATAGTGTTCTGCCCGCATGTATGCCTGTATGTCATGAGGGCACCAGATCTCATTACAGATGGTTGTGAACCACCATGTGGTTGCTGGGAATTGAACTCAGGACCTCTGGAAGAGCAGCCAGTGCTCTTACCACTGAGCTCTTACCTTTCCAGCCCTCTCCCCATGACATTATTTTTATTGCTACTTCATAACTGTAACTTTGCTGTTATGAATCTTAATGTAAGTATCTGACATAGGATCCCTGTGAGGGGGGATCGGGAACCACAAATTGAGAAACGTTGGTGTAGGGGATTCCACCCTATTAACCAGAGAAGAATTTCCCCTTGGTCACTAATCCAGTGGTAGCCTGAAGTTCTTCCTAAGTGCAAAGGAAGAGACCAGTTCCTGAAACCGCCCCCAACCCCCTTCAAGTGGAACCCCGGAGCTGTGAAAATGCACACGTGAGGAACTCTAATTTACTGCAAGGACTCCTTAACAACTACTGCCACGTCTGAGCTGCGGAACAGAAACTTGCACTTCCGCCCATCTTTCACGTCCCACGGTACTGAGCACGCAGTTGATGTAAGAACTTGGCAAGTTTTGTGAGGATTCAGAGGAACTGTGAGGTTTGAGAGAGGGCCTTGTGAAGACACACGCCTGGCTTTACACTCACAGCAGCACAGGCAGCATCCTCAGAAACGGCTTAACTAGAGCTCCGCAAAGCCAAGGCGAGGTCAGGTTTGAGTCCGGGCTCCCCACACGACGTGGCGCTGTCCCGCAGGCGGCTGACGCCGAGGAGGAAAAGGAGAGCCTAAGTTTGACTCAGCCTCAGGAAGGATAAGCTACTAACCGGGCCGAGGCAGCTCGTGGGGGCGGAGCACTTCCTACACTCTCGGGGGCGGGGCGAAGGCGGGGTCCACTAATGCCAGCCACGCCCTCCCGTGGTCGCGCCTCACGGGGACTGGGTAAGCGCACGGGCCACTCAGCCGCCCAGCCGGCCTCGTGGGCGGGGCTGACCCGGCCAGGCGACAGGGAGGGCCGCGAGCGTGACGCAGTTCCGCCCGGCGTCTTCCGGCTTACCCGGGACCCCGGACCCTCCTCAATAACAACAATTTCGGGCGCTCGCGCGGCGCCGCCGCCGCCCTGTCCCCGCCCTCCTCCTGCCACCTGCCGCCCACTGCCACCGCGCCGCCCCGCGAGACCAGGAGGGCGAGCCCCGCGGGGTCGCGGCGCAGGGGCGGCCCTTCCTCCTTTCGGGCTTGCTGGGGGCCGCAGCCTTGCTTTCCCCAGGCTCGCTCTCGGCCGCGGCCTGCCTTCCTCTAGGCTCGCTCTGCGCTTGCGGCCTTGCTTCCCCCCAGGCTTGCTCTCCGGCCGCCGCCTTCTGCCTCCAGGCTCGCTCCCCGCCGCAACCTTCCTTGTCTCAGGCTCGCTCTCCGGCCGCCGCCTTCAGCCGCTCGCCCAGGCCGCGCGGGTGCTCGCGTAGGGCCTTGTTGCGTTTCAGCTCCGGGGTCGCGGCAGGGGCGGGGCGCTGAGCGGTCCGCCGGGGCCTGTCCTTCGCGTCCTCCCCGGGTCGCCTGCCCGCCTTCCACCGCAGTCTGGAGCCAGGCGGAGCCCAGACCTGGCGGGGACAGCTGCACCCCCGGCCCGGCACCCAGAGCCTGCCGCCACCACCGCCACCGCCACCGCCCATCGTTGGTACCGGCAATGGCCTTCGTCTCGCCCGATGTGCTTGTGACTGACTTGAACCCAGACTATTGAGAACTCACGTCGGTCCCCATCCCAGCCCTGCCCGCCCTTAGGGCTTAGCTGCAGCGCCGCTAGACTGTCTTGACTTTGAGAGCACCATGGACCAGAGTGGGATGGAGATTCCTGTGACTCTCATCATTAAAGCTCCGAATCAGAAATACAGTGACCAGACTATTAGCTGCTTCTTGAACTGGACCGTGGGGAAACTAAAATCGCATCTATCTAACGTGTACCCTAGCAAACCAGTAAGTGTAAAACTGGACTCAGCTGCTCTCATCTGCAACCCCGGGGTCTGTGGCACCTACCTTCTCCCAGCTTGCCCTCCTCGCCCATCAAATAGGTCTCCATTCGAAATACTTTTGGTTCTGAGGTTGTAGGTGTCTCCTGAGTAAACCATCATTATTGCCTTCCTAATGAGGTTCGGTTAATTAGTGAGTATACAGAAATACCAAGAGGCAAGAATGTGCAGTTAGGGAAAAGGGACCATCTTCCGTGGAACATTCTAATGTGAATGTCAGATGTTAATTTTGTTAGGTTTTGAGATAAAGAGTCGCAGTCCATATCAAAATTCACTGTTTCCTAGGCTGAAGTTCCATTTTAATTTTAAGTTCTTGGCTCAGGAATATGTTCATGGTAAAGAGAATATTTTCATCTTTTGGAGAAACTATATGTATGACCTAGTGAAAATCATATGTACTTTAAGCATCCCTCCATTGCACGTGTTCTAAGTTTGAGATTCACTTTGTTTCCCCACTTGATAACCGATTCTGAACATACAGTGAGACGTGTAGTTCTCCCACACACCCCAGTCATTTGATGCCTGTTTTATTTTTGGTTGTGTCATCTGTTTCACTCAAATCAGTGTGGCTTTGTTTCCCGTTCTTAACTGTATTTTCGTATTGGAAAGAAATAGAATGTCACCATTTGTCCCTAAAGTCGGAGTTGAAGGTATGAAGGTTGGTAAGTCTTGGAATAGTTTAGAGAAGTACGCCATATTAAAGTGAGGCTTTCATATTCTCTATTGTATAACTTTCATTCTTGAATATCTAGTATTCAATTGCTAAACCTTATATTTAAATAATAAAGAGGATTGTTTTTAGGGTGGGAAATATTTTGGCCTATTTACCACCAGCTGCTTGGAAAACAAATGTTTTTTAGGCCTGTTTTGTGTTCCTACGTATGGAAGATAGTGATCTGCATTAAGATATTTCTGAGGTAGAACTCTGTTTAGTGCAGTATTGTGTAAGATTTGGACTTCTGGAATAACCACTGAATTATTTTATTACAAAAGCCGGAGGGTGTATTTTTGTTGTTGTTCGTTTTAAACTCATTAGGCATTAGCTGTATTTGTGACACAAATATTTTTAGTATGGGGGAACATTCAGTTATTTAAGTAGTTGGAACAAACTAAAACAGTTAGAACTTTTACTAATCCAAAGCTTCAGATTGAAAGTGAAGATTTACACCAGGGTAACAATTCCTTAAGAAATTGTGACTTATAAAATTTTTCTATTGTATATTATTGTTTTCCCACATTTTTGAAAGAGAAAGTACCTTGTGAGAATAGTCATAACTGAGAGACATAGATTTCATAACACAGCCCAAATACTATTCTAAAGTACGTTCTTAGGTCTCTATATACCTGTGTGGTGTGTACTAAGGTGAGATCTGTGTGTTACACTAGTACACCATTGGTCTGCAATATGTGGGTCAGGAGTTTGCTTTAAGCCTAATGTGGTGTAATCTTAGTACTTGAGGAGGATCAGCAGTTCAGGGTCATTCTTAGCTGCATAGTGAGCTTGAAGCTAGCATGATTCTGCCCCCAAACAAAACAAATGTAGCACTATTCTACAATTTTTCTCTTAAAGACAAAAGCAAAAGAACTATGTGAGATAGAAATGTGAAGCCTGTTTTCTGTATCTGCCCAGGGGTAAGCTTTCATGAGGCTGGAGGTTTGCCCTTGCGCATCTAGTCACTGGGGGAGGACTGTTGTTGCATCTGGATCCTAATGCCCAAGGAGATCACTTGCAAAATTGTCTTTCCTGACTTGCCTGACTCATAGACACACTGGAGATTCTTTTGGAGGCTGCATCACATACTACAATTAATGACTTAACCTTGTAACACTTCTCTAGCAAGTTTTCTGAGTGGCTTGTAATGTCCTGCCAAGTTCATTTCTAGGTTGAAAATTTTGTGTAACTATTAGCCTTGACAGGTTTTTGTTCTGACTTATCTGAAATTTGAAGTATCACAGTTGTTGAGTAACTGCAGTTAGTGGTACCCTGTAGCTATGGGAGATATCAGCTATAGGAATTGGGAGACATAAACATTTTCTTTGTAAGGTTATTTAGAAGTCAACATTTTGTTATGAAGCAAGATTATGGCAGGAGTGTAGATCCTTGTGACTGCCCACAGTGACTCACATTGGCTTTTTAAATGTTTTTAGTGTTGCATCCATGTGTGCATTCATGTGTGCCTGTTTCACCTTCCTTCCCAGACATGGTCTTACTGGTTTGCACAGTATTTTCTCAAACTCGTGGGCTGAAGCACTTCTCTAGCAAGTTTTCTGAGTGGCTTGTAATGTCCTGCCAAGTTCCATTTCTAGGTTGAAAATTTTGTGTAACTATTAGGCTTGACAGGTTTCTGTTCTGACTTACCTGAAATTTATGTTGCACTGATGACCCTAAACCCTTTATTACTATAATAAGCAATACAGTTCTAAGTAAAAAGACTAGAAATTTAGTGGGCACGAAGGGACAGATATTTTCTAGTTTAGAATTTAGACATTTGTCATATATATGTGAAAGATTTATGTGGAATTGAACTCTTGGAATTCAGATAACTTCCAAAGAAACTGGTAATTGTTTTAGGAACCAGGAGGTTCCCCAGTACTAGTGATGCTGATAGTGCTTAAGATCATTATAAAACATATTCTAGCGGGACATTTGCTATTACTAATGGATTTAGTTTTTCAGTCCTGAAATTGGCCTGAAGAGTGAAATAATCACTATTAAATTTCAGTAATTGCTACAGGATGTTGAAGAGCCCTGTGGAAGACCACTTTTCCTTGAGTCTTGGATTCTAGTCTGAACTTGGACTTAGTTATCAGATGAAAATGCCTCGAATTGTTCAGTAGAATGCATTATCCAATTGAAATTAAAATATATAAAATTCACCCATCTAGCTAGGCATTCTCCCATCTCTCCTTACTTAATAATGTCTTCTTATTTGCAAATGGTAGGTAGCTAGAGATGGGGTTGACTTACCCTGAATTTGCTGTTCAAGGCAAACCTTTCCAGTACTTGGGGTCAGACTGCCTTGTGACGTGTGTTTTACCTCTGTACATTTCCTGTCTTTGCTGTTTATTTTATGGTGGTAAAAAACAGAAACAATCACTTCCAGTACTTAGGTTTTCTGTCTTCCCTGATGGCCAGGGAGGTTTGTGCTAGTTTTTCAGGCAGTTGTTCTACTCCATTCTATTGCAAGTAGAGAAGCAAGTGTATATAGAGGTTCTGTTCTGAGAATATAATGTTCTGCCATCCAGAGTGAAGTTTTCCTTTTCTTCAATGACATAGTGTGTTGTCTTGTAGCTTTTGGAACTTTTGTCTTTGTTATTTTGTAATTCCCTATTACCTTATGTAGGTAATTAAAAAAATGTAGTAGCTTGACCACTTCAGGACTGTTGATTACAAGGAAATGGATTCTTTATACATGAATACTTTTTACTTGATAAGACAGCTGTCTTACATAATTTTAACAAATTTAAGAGGGCTTCATGTCACCCAGCTGTATGGCTCAGATTTTAAAAAAACACCTTGTGAACAAATGGTGCTGTCAAATTTAATGTGAAGATGATGAAAAATAGAAATTTGAAGTTTAATGACTGCTGACTAAAACTTACCTAAGTATTTTTCAGTCTTAGCCTCATGTCTTAAAGTTTTGTTTAATAATGCATTAATGCTTTTGGGGGTTTTAGAGTTTTTAGTTTAAATTTCTCTATATAATACTGATTTGTCTACAATTCTTTTATTTAATTGCTCTGATTTTAAATGGCCATTTAAACCAGGCATTCTAAAAAATACTTGATGTACTTTGTAATGTTTATTTGGGGTAGACACTTTGTGATGTTAGCTTGAGGAACATAGACTTGGTGATTCTTTTGCTTAAACTCATGAACCTCTTAAGTAGAATTGGGATTTGAACCCAAGTTGTCTGACTTGAAAGTCAAGGCCCTTAGCCATATATGTATATACATACATACACACATACACACTCAGCTATATGCAGTGAAGTGAAGGCTGCCCTGTAGTGACTTGACTATGTCAATTATACACTTATGAACAGAAAAAAATTAAACTATTGAAAGATGTTTTGACTGAAGAGATGGCTCAGCAGAGGATGGGGGTTCAGTTGCCAGCACCAACATGGCAGTTTACAAATGAGTTGCAGGGGATCTCATGCTCTGGGCATCACACACACACTTGGTACATAGACATATATGAAAGCAAAATACCCATACATGTTAAAGAAATTGCTTTAATTAAAAAATATATGTTTGGATACTATGATACCTAGAAATTACATAGTTGAGTAAGACATCAGCACCTAATCAGCTTACTGTGTGGTTATTACTGTTTATTCTGACAAACTATAGGAAGACTATGAGGTCACAGTATTTTAAGACTGCAGAGTGTCTCCTCACAATGTATTAGTTTCTATACTTTGGCATTCTCTATTGCACATACATCTGACATGTGATTGAATGGCCTGTGAGTGGAAACCTTTAATCAGGGAATACTCTTTGGGAATTCCAGATAATGTATTTTCTGAAGACTCAGTATGCTGGTTATTGCTGTAAGCAGATAGGGGCTAGAGGCTATTTGGGTAACTATGCTTCCATTTACAGTACTTCTGAATCTCCCAAAGCTTTGAACTGAGAGAATTAGAGATGTGTTTAAAAATTTACAAAATTCACTTTTCACTGAATCCATGCTTTGTGTGCTTTAAAGCTCTTTAAAGCTATTTGGTACTTACGACTGAGCCATGTATGGGAACTGAAATGTAGTACTTTCTATTTTCAAAGTACTTGTATGCCAGTTATTAGAACTTACCAGTCAGTTGAAGATTACTTTTATTGAGTCATTATCATATATTTTAAGAATCTACATATTTTAAAGTTCAAAATTAATATTTTGAAATTATGCAGAATTTGATTATGCTAAAGCTGGACATAACGGGTACATGA